GCTTTAAAATTCTGCCTTGTTTCCTTCCTGAAAATCTCAGCCATACGTTAAAATAAATGTTGTTTTATACTTCAGAATCATAACTGACCATGTGGTAATATGGGAGTCATTGATGGTGGTGTTATATGAGGTGATTTATTAAGTAATTCAGCTTTTGGAGAACTGCAGAGAGGTGTTTGGGGAAGATGCATCATAGCATTTGCTGTGGCCAAATAGAAACGTCTAAACAGAAATGATTGAGTAGGATGCACCTTCTGCCATTCTTTAATTGACCTCCCACAGGGATTGACTGAACCACCCTTGGAAGTGTCTTGAAACCTCTGCATCCCTCCCTTTGATCATACCACATGATGGCAGTGGACCTGGAGGTTTGAGCAAGTCCTTTGACTCAGGTTAGCTTCAAATTCTTCAGATCTTTTTCCTTTTCCACCTAGGGCTGACCTCTGATTTTCTGCTTTGAATTCCTGCAGCCTCCCTCTGACACATCAGCGTCTAAGGCAGCAGAGAAATTTCTGCCGTGAGCCCAGGGAAACTTCAGAGTACAGGGACTTGACAAATATTTGCTTTATAATGGCAAACAAGGTTGAACATTAAAGATATGAAATACGGGCCAGTATCGGCAGAAGCAGTTTTAAAGTGAGGAATCTTGCAAAACTAACAATGTCATTTCTTCTCCTCCTCATCATTAGCAATTCCTTTGTCAGCATATGTTGTGTTCATTGGCCCTCTCCTGTCAAAACGGGAAACACATTGAGTTCAGCCATTTCTGGAGCACTGTAGTTCTTGATGTCATGCATGAAAAGCATCAAAAAAGTATTGTAAATTGTTAGGGTTTGGAGGAGGGTAGAAAACATTCATAAACATATGCAGGGCTTTGCAGAGGCTTATTCCTCCAGGGCAGTCAGCAGGGGTTGAATTCTGGCCTTGCAGTGGTGGCAAATGTGGTAGACTCCGTTTGGATGTGGACTTTGCAGCTATGCTGGGGCTGGGTCCCAAAATGCGCAAGTCTCATTCCTTCTGGTGCGAATGTTGGTTTGGATGTGGACTTTGCAGCTATGCTGGGGTTGGGTCCCAAAACGCTCGTCTCATTCCTTCCTGTGCGAATGTTGGGATGATGTTCAAGCAGCTCTGTCTCATCACTCCTTCCAGCACTGACGACCCCTTCTGCAATTGCTTTGACAGAAATAAAATCTTGTTGTTCCAACTGTCTCAGAGCTGGTGACTGCCAGGCCAGAGCAGGTACAGTAGCTGCTTTATAGAATGAAACATCTTTATATCTCTCTGATGTTCAAGCAGCTCTGTCTCATCACTCCTTCCAGCACTGACGACCCCTTCTGCAATTGCTTTGACAGAAATAAAATCTTGTTGTTCCAACTGTCTCAGAGCTGGTGACTGCCAGGCCAGAGCAGGTACAGGAGTTGCTTTATAGAATGAAACATCTTTATATCTCTCGGAGACTCAGATTTGATGTCCTTGTTTGCTTTGCTCATATGTGTGATATGAGGTTCACATGAACTTTTTTTGGTGTCACCTCAATACAAGAAATATCAAGAGCTTTACTTGTTTTCATCTGAAGATGACAGGCAGAAGTGCTGCAGGTTGGAGCACATCTTGGTTGCTTATGTCTCTCCCTTCCGCTTAAATTCTTTCCTCCCCTACACACACTTTTTAACTGAAAGCAGCCCTTGAGCTTTTTCCATGTGCAGCTTCTTGGGTCAATGAAAGGATATGAGCAAATGCTGCCCACTTGCCAGAACGGTGAAATGAGTTTCATAGTACTGGATTATTTTGGGTTTTTTTGTCAGTAATTAGTTCTAACCTAATGAAATTCCTGTAGGGATAATTATTTTAGAAAACCTTAAGTCTGAGCCCAGATATATGCCTTTATACCATATCCTAGATCCTTCTCTGAGGTATTCAGTATCTGCTGTTTCAGCCAAATTCTGAAAAAAAGTAAAATATATAAATAAAAATTTACGAGTGGAAGTTTACAGGTTCTATGCATCAGAAGTTACATTTGTTTTTTTAATTTAGCCACTTCAAAGTATTGAGGCAATCATGAGATATATTTAATTTTTGTGCTTTTTATGTGCTTCCTAAGCTTCCAAAAGTGGAGAGGAACTCAGTTGGAAAGCAATTGGTTTTGAAGCAGATACGTTAAAGAAGGAGTAGTTGATATGAGTTCTTTTAGGTATGGGGCTTTGGGAAGCACTGTAGACTTTCAAATTTGTAGAAAAGTGTCCAAAGCCATCATATGACAACTTCACCATAGGATCTAGATGAAGATCTCTTGTACAAATGTCCCTGCTCTCCTTTCCTGCGGATGTTCCAAACACAGAACAATTTTCCTTTGATCCTGATGACTTAAAGCCATCCAAAACACCAGGTGAAGGGGGCTGGGGATCTTTCACGGTGTATGGATCATCCAGGAGTTTGCCTTGGTGGCACCACAAAGAGAAGTGGTGTCAGCAGGATATTTTAGCCATGCTGTCCCTAACCAAACTGTCTTAAATGCTAATGTAAACAGTAATTTTGCTCTGGTTTGTACAGTGGCTGTTTTTTTTTTTTTACTTTCTACTAGTAAAACTTTTTCCTTTTTGTTTTCCAAGGACAATTAATGCTATGAAGTTGAATATTTTTCTTGGTGAATCACAGTGGGTATAAAAAGTTTTTTCTTGTGTTTCCAGTAGCTGCTGCTTTTATTAAAAAGAGAGAGGAAAAAAAAAAAATCTTGCTTTTTTTATTGACTGATACTTGAGTATTTTATGATGGCAGTAGAAAAGAAAAATCAACAGCAGTGATTTTTCAGGTGAACATTTTGCTTGGGACTACCTTTCATCACACGGGTTGTCTTTAGGCAGAAGACAAATTTCCTGTGCTTTGATCCAGAGCTGTGTCAAAACTTTTCAGCACTGTGAGCCCCCCATGAGACACACAGGTCAGAGAAGTACTATAAAAGTACAGGAAGGGGAAGCTGGTGGAAAAGAAGCATCCTGAGAACTAAGTTTTGCTATATCTCTGCTACAGAGATAAAGGATCCACCACTATTGCAGCTCCTAAAATGTGCATCTTGTTCACCTTCAGATCCTACCTGCCCTCTCTGTGATTCTGGCAATGCACACCAGATGTCAGGACAATTTTGAGATTCGTTAAGAAATGACTGGTCATATTTCACAGCCTTACAACCAACCTCTGTTCCTTTTTTTTGAACAATACTAATCTAAAATATGTTATATTTAAAATGCATTTATTTCTGGAAATCAGTGGTATTAAAAATGTAAATTTGTGGTTTAGGGGATGGATACAAATTATTTCTAATGTACTATATGAACTTTTGCTTCCTGAAAACCAAATTGCATATAGATGTGATTGAGACTTTGAAAAAAGATGATGATACACAGGTAGATGATATTTAATGCCTTTGAATGGAAGATAAGTTTACACCTTGGAGAATTATGTAAATTTATGTCTAAATTTCATACTGCTGTGTAGTATAAAAAGCAGTGCATGTAAAACCACTTTGAAAACCTATTAGAAAACACAAAGGTTAAGCAGGAACAATAAATAATATTAATGTGATAGAGGAACTGATGCTGAAACTGCAGGGATATGTGCATGGCACTATAATTAAATTTCTGAAAATTGCAATGCAGATAACAAATGCTGTCATTGGACTCAGCATGTTACAGAAAGCTGCTAAGACTCATAAACACACACAACTATTTATAATTAGAAAAATCTGCCCATCTAAAACTAATTGTGTGTTCAAAACTTGGGGCAGTAAGCGTGTAAGTAAATTGGTATTATTCTGTCATATTTTGATTCCACAGGCTGCTAAAAGGTAAAAATGAAGTGTTGCTCTAGAAGGTGTCTCAGAGCTTAATTTCCTTTCTACCAGCCCTTGCAGTGCTGTGTTGTATTGGAGATGGGGCTTTGAACTTGAGTTCAGAGTTACAGGTTTATGTATCTATACACTCCTTTACCCTTCTCCACTCACCCCCTCCCACAGTTTTACAACAGCAATTCCATGCAGGAGATTAAGTCAAACCAATAATTGTTTTCAGAGCTGAATTTTAGGGTGGAATGAAGTTACTCTTGATTTCCTTTCTGTGACCTGATCCTGCAGTCCCAATGCATGAAGCAACATTTACATTTGAACTTGTGCCAGGCCTCATTACTAAAATGCTTTTCTTTCTGCTTTCCTTCTCCTTTTCCCTGTAATGTTATAGGAAAAAAGAAAATATTTTTCTTACCCTGTTTTCTAGATTTTGTGTTGTTTTCCTCTCTTTAATAAGGAAAAACTTTGTCACAGAAATTATTTCAAGGAGGAGGGACTGTTTATATTCAGAAGGCAAGCTTTATAAAAATAGCTTTTCTTGGCTGCTTATAAATCTTTATCATCACTAAACTCCAGCAACCAAATAAGAACAGTTAAAACAGTTCAAGGAAAAAAAAAAATGGCTCTCCAGCAACCTCAGTAACTTTAACGATCTGGTAAAAGACCAAACAAACAGACATAATTATCATAAAAAAGCTATTACATAGCTCATCCCATCTGAATTGTTTATGGGATAAAAATTAAAGTACTTAAAATCATCAGAGGTTTCCTTTGCTTTCAGATGCTATCCTTTCCCACTGAGCTCGTTGCAGCCATTAAGACTCTTACCCTGAGAAGGCCTTGGATAATGAAATCCATACTTCTCTCTTACTAGAGCAAACCGGATTTGTTCCCTGATTAACTGTCCCTGCTTCAGTACCTGATGACACCAATACTTGAGTGAAGGTGTCTCAGCTGTCAGTGTAACTCTGTCCATCTCCAGCTACTCCTCATCACCTTGCCTGAGTCTCTTAAAGTCTGTGCTAATAAAGTAGTTTGGACCTTATATGGGAATAATATAATCTCTGGGACTTCCCTGTTTTCAATGTAAAAGGTAGTTCTATGTGAAGGAAACAGTTTGTGAGTTTTTAGAGTTCATGGTATCTTTTCTGTTTTATTTTAGGTTTGTCTGTTTTGGAGGACCAGGTTAGATCTGGATTTTTCAGCTGGGCATGGCAATCTGGGTTAAAGGAGGCATCAGGGTTATGAGGGTCGCTGATGCTCGAAGATCTCTTCAAACAAGAGCAAAGTCACTGGGCTGTAGGTCTGTGCCAGGCTCCGGATCTGACCCGATCTGACGGCTAGCGGGGCAAGCAAGGGACGTGCCCACCCACTGCAAAGGGCTGGCCTTGGCTGATAGGACGTGTTACTGGGACACGCTTCTTCCAATTCAACGCTCTGCCTCGTGAAACAAGGCTTTGCTGTTGTAGCCTGTGCCTCAACGTGTAGCATAGTTAAAGCTTCTCCCCCTGACTGTGCCCTGTAAGTATTTCTGTACTACTGATAAGGAAAAAATTAGCTCTTAAAATACCTACTTGTACGCTATTCTGTGCTTCCACCCATTTGGCCTTTCTCTAGTATTTATACGTTAAGTACGTAGAAAACTGAACTTGAAGGACAGAGATCACTTATAATGACTAGGTATTTTTTTCTTTTTTAATGATTTTGGCAAATGTTTGAAGATTTGTTTCTCTTGTTTGGGTTTCGGGTTTTGGTGTTGTTGATTTGTTGTTTTCCTTTTACTATATAAACCTTTGGCAAGCCCTAAAGCAAAGAACTTTGTGCTTGATCTTTATTCATGCCGCATGGATGCTGTCACAGACAGATGCTTTCACACAATTTTAAGGACAGGTTTCTTTCTGCTAGAGTGATTGATTTGCCCTATAAATCAGTTCCTACATAAAATTCACAAGGAACAAGTGATAGGTCATGAAGCAATGAACTGATGTTGAGAATTTGCTTCCTTGCATGTATTTATCTCTCTCTAATTCTGACTTTAACCGTTCTCATGCCCCCTCTAAAGACTGCACTTCATTTTAATCTCTAAGTGTACTTGGACTTGGGGGTGAATGAGCCTAACAAAGCAAAGGGAGAATAAAGACCAGGCAATCCTTGTACGCTTGAAAGGCCTGGTGCTTTGGACTGCCCCTGGGTGGAACCCTGGTATAAAGAAAAATACTGTACTCTGTGTATCCTGGCTGCAGCCTTTATGCAGAATTTATTGTGGAGAAAACCGTAGGCAAATACACTAATGAAGTAACATTTGCTGCTACTAAATTTAGGAAAAAAATCAACAATCGCTGCATCGCATCAGTGAATTAAAGACACAGCACTCAAGAAAAATAGAACTGCTCCAGTAAAATTGACTGTATGGCATGTATATTGGTTTAATGTATATACAAATATATAAGTAGCACACAAGTGGATTTTCCTTTTTTCAGTCTTGCCTAAAGGCCAGTTGGGAACAGGTTTCCATTTGCACCAGGCAGCATCCAAATGCCTAATTTCTCCTTTGAAGAATTTTCGATATAAATAGACAAGATAATATCTGATGGTTTCCAGATCACAAGTGGCAGAAGATATTAGTGCCATGGTTTGAGGGATTGCAGTTTGTCAGATTCTTTGGGCGAAGTGAGCAGGGTCATCGCTAGACAGAAGAAAAAAAGGTAAGAAAGGGCAAAAACAGTGTGACAGGGTGAGAGAAGAAGGAGAAAAGGCGTTAGATAAGGTGAGTATATACTTTCTTGCTTCTGGTAGAATGGCTTTGAGAATAAGTATGAGAGGAAATAGAGAGCTGTGAGAGATATCTGTGTAATCTGTTACCATCACAGTAATGTGAAACTGGTTTGGCAGCAATAGTCATAGCTGCCTGGAAGAAGAGAAGATATATTTTACTGAAACTTAGTGAGAGCAGAAGAGAAACAAACAGTAACATTGGAAAATTAATATTTTACTTTGATATTTGTGAATCTACCTGCATCAACACATTTTATCATTATGTCCTTGTCTCACATGTGAGTTTCACTGCCTCGACAAGCACAATTTAAGATTTTTTTCTTTGTTTATTTGTTTCAAAGAGTTTCAGCTGTAAGACCAAATGTTACTTTGAGTTCAAACTTCAGGCAATTGTTGTTGTTTTGGCTCTCACAGCGGGGAGCTGAACAGAGATGATGAAGTGCTGCAGACTGAGATGGAAAGAGTCTACCACAGCAGATTTTCAGCCTCTCTGAATTGATTACAGAGTATGGTTACATTGTTTGATTGAGTACAGGATGGAGATATTGAGATATTAACTTTAATTTTTCTTATGTGATTCACTCATAATCACTCATACCATGCGTTGTATTATTATGTAGCATATACACATATACATAACCTGCAAATAAGCGGAATAGACACTATTGAAGAGGTAGAACAATGGAAAAGGTTGAATTAAGGAGCTGAACAGAGATGATGAAGTGCTGCAGACTGAGATGGAAAGAGTCTACCACAGCAGATTTGAATTGATTGCAGAGTATGGTTACATCTGAGATGGAAAGAGTCTACCACAGCAGATTTTCAGCCTCTCTGAATTGATTACAGAGTATGGTTACATTGTTTGATTGAGTACAGGATGGAGATATTGAGATATTAACTTTAATTTTTCTTATGTGATTTACTCATAATCATTCATACCATGCGTTGTATTATTATGTAGCATATACACATATAGGTATCCCGCAAATAAATGGAATAGACGCTATTGAACAGGTAGAACAATGAAAAAGGTTGAATTAGGAAAAAGGCACAGAAAAATTAGGTATTAAATTGAGCCACTTACATCAGGTTTGTTTCTAGGAGGACTTAAATGGCATAGCCATTAAGTACTAGACCACTGAAGACCTCTTTTAAATGCAGGCATACTAGAGAAATCTAAAACAATTCATTTTCTCTCCTTCCTTGTTAAAAGAAGAAACCAAAAGACCTTATTTTGGTAAAAATGTCTTATCTTGTCATCTGAAATACTTTGTTCTGTTGGTTTTCAAGGTTGTTCACAAAGTAAAATAATTTATTTGGGCTTGAGTTGGAATTTATTGGTGCACTTGGTCTATATGAGATGAGAAATAATTTATTTGGGCTTGAGTTGGAATTTAGTAGTGCACTTGGTCTATATGAGATTTTGTGTTAGCTGGGATTTATGTGCATTTGTATTTATTTTTGGGTTTGTTTCTAACTTACGTCAGATATACCTAAAGTGCCAGGTCAGCAAACTTCAAATTGCCTCTCAGAACCAAAGAATTAGGTTATAATAATCATCATCCATGGCAGATCAGTGAAGGGATATGAAAAGAGAAAGAAGGGACTTGAGGAGTTTGAACTGGTGTAAATATCAAATCAAAACGAAGTCAAGAAGTCCCCTAAATCATGAACTGTGCTGCTGAGTTTTGGGCAAAAGTCCTAGAAGCTAAGAGCACCATAACTCACTCTTAGGTGAGTTATGTTCATGTGTTTAGCTGAACATCTGGCCAATAACATTTCTTATAAGTGAAAACATGATTTTCTTGAAGTTAAGGTAGTTTTGCAATCATATTCTACAGGGTTGGTATTCCATCTTTTCATCTCAGAGATATTCATAGTTTGCATAATGTCTGACAGCAACTTTCCTTTCTTCAAGGTATGGAGAAAAGAAGGTTAGTGATTATGGAAGACAAATATAGGCAGTAATGATTAGTGAAAATGATTGATAAATGGGGTGGGGAATGGGAACAAATTTGAGACACAAAAAGGCAGAAACAAATGTTTAAATTTAGAGTTCTGCCCTCAGAAAGTCCCTGCCTGTCAAATGTGCGGAAATAAATTATGAAAATCTTGGCATTTGATATTTCACAACGACAGCTATGACATTCATGAGATGTATGCTGCTAAGTCGTTGCCCACGGCAGGTTTATACAGCGTGTACAGCTTCTCCAGCAAACGGGCAGCGCACTTGAATATGTTTTAGAGACAACAGAACACACCGATGGTCCCGTCTATTTTCGAGGACAGTCAGAAATCTTGGCTGGTCACACCCTGTAGCACAGAGGTACCCTTTTTGTAACACACGTGGTCCAAGTGCCAGTTGTGTCACTCGGGTACACCCGGACAAAATAGTTTTAGGTGGTTGAACATTCATCTCAGAAGGTTGATAGTTTAAAGCGAGGAATTTACATAGGGTGCTCCCAGAAACTGGATCCGTGACAAAAGTCCTGTTGATTTCAGTTTCATCCACACGCACCTGGTCCCTTACCATTCCCATGCTTGAGCTGAGTTTTTGGAAAGTGCATAAAATATTGCATTTTTTTCTCCTTTAAAGCTTCCATTTTCATAATTATTATAAAAGCAATGTGAAGACAAGTTGGCTACTGATGGACTCACACCCCAACTCATCATAGTAATAATTTTCATTCGTTATTTCCTGTATCTATTTGTCTATCTACTTGCCTGTTATTTTTTATGTAGACTGAAACCTTTTTTTATTCTGTTTGTGCAGTACCTGGCACACTTCATTCCTTTCCCTAGAGAAGAGCTTCCAGATGATGCAATAGTTAAAAAAAACCACCCAAACAAAAAAGCCATAGCCAACTTTAGCAGATAGAAGTATAGAATACTATAATTAAAAAATTCTTTTAACAAGATTAACATATATACGTTTATGGTTTTTCATTAAGAGCTCTGAATTTGGAAATAACTAATGAGTTAAAATAGTGTAATCCTTTTTTATAGGGGTTATTTTCTCTCATTAGTTTATAGAAAAAAATAACTAAAAGGTGAGAAAAATTTCAAATGTCCTCTCATGATATGAGATGGATCCTGAATTTATTTTTTGAGTTACAATATTTAAATGTCAAGCATCCCCAGGAGAAATAAATTATTAATTATAATTAGAAAATGTAATTTTAAAAAAATCATTTATTGGTGACCAAGCAGCATATTCAGTGAGAATGTTTCTTCTTTTGTACAATAGCTGTGTACTTTGAGATAATGTTCTAATTAACCTAATTGCAGCTACTGTATTGAACTGTAGGTTGAGATCCAAAGTGTCATGGCAACTAGCAGAAAAGCTCTGAAAGCCCCTGCTTCCTCAGTGTAGTCTCAAAAATAGCTCTTTATTATAGGAAATAAGGAGGTAAATCTTCTTAACAAGATAAAGCTTGAACCAAGAAAGAATTTTCCCCTTTGCACTTGATGGTAAAGCATAAATTAAGCATTTCTGCTTCAATTTAATTAGCATAAGCCATCATAATAATGTACCCCATAAGTGTTTGCTTTTCCCGTCTAGAGCAAACCTCCTGTGCTCAGGAGATTTACTGTAAATCATTGAATATTAATTTCTTGGATTTTATTGAAGAACATTTTACACAGTCAGCTTAGGAGAGAGGACAATCATTTTCTTTCCCTTGCAGGAAAGATCTTATTTAATACTGTGATATTAACTAAAAGGAACTCCATGAAATGCTGCTCCAGTTTTATGATCTTGCTAAACTCTGGAGACTGCTGGAAGTGGGAATTTCAGAAAATAGGAAGTGTATATTTTAAATATGTCTGACTCAAATGCCCGATAGTATTATGTCTCTCTGT